AGTCAGACCACAATCCTCCTAACCTATACCTACCTTGTAGCTGGGATTACAGGAGCACAGAACCACACCCAGCTTGAAGTTTGAGGTGCGGAGGTCTCACTAATTTTGCAGGTATATGCCATCATGCCCAGACCCTGAATGTGATTCTTTAATCTTTAAATTTATAAAATTATTTAACCTTAATCTTAGAAGAAAGAAGGGGTGAAGGCATAGCTCAAGTGGTACAGCACCTGACTAGCAAGTATGAGGCCCTGAGTTTAAACCCCAGTACAGAGTAGACTGAAGAAAAACAAAAAAGAAGAAAAACTGAAACATAATTTTCTTCAATCACAGGAGAATTTAAAGCAAGCTGAAACAGCAATTTATACTATGATTAGTTTTTAAACCCTAGGAAAATTCAACTGTGATTAGGAAGAAACACTCTCAGCAAAAAAGGAACAGGCAATCCCTAAACTGTCTGCTGGAGAGTGTTAGGGATGAGAACAGCGCCCACCACATTCTAACCTGATCTTGGGGTGGCTTGGAGGAAAAGGAATCTGTAAAGTTTCTAAAACCAAATTGAATTGTCTTCTCCTCCAAAACTAGGGACATATAATGTACATCAAAATAGGAATAAGGCACAGAGAAGTTACGTTCCAACCCGGCAAGTCAGCAAAAAGCATAAGCATACATAAAAGAAAATTAGCATGCCAAGATTTATATGCTAAATGAAGATTTTGACATTAGAAGAAAATACGAGGGCTTGGAGTTGACAGAGTATTCTTTTTTAGACTCAATTCAACAACCAAAAAAATCAGTAAATCTGCCCTAGGCAAAATAACTTGAGATGTCTTATCACCATGATGACTAAGATATTATGGCCATTTCACCCTACCTAAAAATGAGAAAAGTGATAGAGCTCCTTTCTGACCATTCTTTCCACTCAAAAGGCTGAAATACCTGAATTTCTACCTTGTCCCTTCCACCTGAGGCCTATAGGGTGACACTGTTCTCAGAGAAACAAATTCGGTTAGTGCAATATACTTAACTAATAAGCCAAGAAACATAATGATCTTATTCTCATATTCTCATAACCTTTAAAGTATCCAATATAAAGACATTTTACATTTAGATTACACAGCATGTGATGTCAACTCTCATATCCACTCAATAGAGCTTTTAAGGCAACTGGAAAAACTGAAAAAAATCATTCCTAAATTATGTTCTGAAGATACAGTTAAAACTTTATTTTTCACAATGCATTTTCAGGCCTCTGTAATGCCAATATCCCATTTTATTCTCTTTATACACATGGAATAATACTACAGGTAATATTTTACACTTTATATTTTCTATTTAATATATCTTATACATTTTGTATCAAGAAATACAGACTTCTTGGGCTAGGGGCCATGACTCAAGTGGTAGAGTGCTTGACTAGCAAGCATGAGACCCTGAATTCAAACCTCAGTGCCACCAAAAAATGTACAAATGAACTATATATATATCTCTCTATATATATATTCTATCAAACCAAACAAAGCAAAATTGAGGCTGGGGCTGTAACTCAGTGGTAGTGCTGTCTACCATGTGTGAGGCCTGGGACTGATCCACAGCACCACAAAAAATAAACCACTTAACTACTTCAAAGATAGACCTATGATTTTATGGAAATTATTGTATGATATTCCATTGTGTGGATATGCCATATTTTACTTCCTTTTTGATACTATTTAGACTATTTTAAGTTCTGTGCTTTTACAAATACTGCTTCAGGGAATATTCTTGTATGTGGTCTTTATTTTAGATAAAATTCCTAGACGTGGAATTGCTAGGTCAAAGAGTATGTACATTTGAAACTTTGATAATTAGTGCCCGATTGCCTTCTGGAAAAACTGTATCAATTTATACTCCCATTAAACGAGGTGACTGGGTGTGGAGGTACACTCCTATAATCCTAGCACCCAGGAGGCTGAAGCATGATCATGAGTTTGAGGTCAGCTTGGGTGACATAGTGAAACCCTGTCTCAAAAGAGGTGAGTACTACATTTTAAAATTTTTATTTCTTTCAGTTAGCATACAATAGTAAATTGAGAGGTTTCATTGTGATAATTTCATAGATGCATACAGTGTTCTTTGAACAAGTATACCCCCTCCAACATATTCCTTTATTCCCTCTCTCCTCCCCACTTTTTCAAACAGTGTTTGACGGGTTTCATTATGCTGTCTTTGTGTGTGTGTGTTAGATCCTCTTCACTGTTTCTTTCCCCCTCCCTCTCCTGCCAATGCCCCCACAAAGTCCCCCATATACATTCATGTCCCATTATTATTACTATCCTCATCACCATTTTGGGTTTAGACATCAAAATCCCAATGTCATTCTTCAGAAAAATAGAAAAATCAGTCTTAAAATTCATATAGAATCACAAAAAGACCCAGAATAGCCAAAGCAATGCTGGAAGTATTATAAAACCAGACTTCAAATTATACTACAGAGATTACTACTTTTTTAAAGCTTTCGATGCTACTATCAAATTGTCCTCCAGAAAGATAGCATTTTAACTTCCACTAACAGTTTGAGAGAATGTCCATTCACTCACACTTACATCAACTTCTATTTTTTTGTTTTGTGCTTTTGCAGTGCTTTGGATCAAACCCAGGGCCTGTTGCAGGTATGATTAAAATTCTTTTTGTAGCTCGGTGATAGAGTACTTGCCTAGCATGCATAAAGCCTTGGATAGAATCCCCAGCATCACAAAAAAAATTAGCTTTATCAATCTGTTATATGAAAATGATCATGTTTATTTCTCTGATAACTTGAAACTGAACATTTGTATTTCTTTGCTTCTGAATTCCTTATTTATTTCCATGGACCACTTTTCTTTTGAGTCTTTCCTGTTTGTTGGAAATATGTAAGAGACCCTTAGCTAGTGGAGTGGTTCGAGTTGTAAGAGCGCCTGCCTAGCAAGCATGAGGCCCTGAGTTCAAACTCCAGTGCTGCAAAAAAAAAAAAGACCCTCATATATTAAAAACGCTCATCATTTGCCTGTCATATATAGCTCATCTTTTTTCACAGCTTCTTGTTTATCTTTTTATCTGACTGTAGGATTCTCCCCCCCTGTGCAGAAGCTTTAAGTATCACACTTTCAAAATCATGAGCTGGTTGTGTCAAAGCCATTTGTTAAATGGGCCACTCTTTCCTCCCTACTTGAAATGCTCCCACTATTAGACATATACTAAGTTCTTATTTATTGTGAGAGCTCTTTCTAAATGTTTTATTCCTTTGATCTTTTATTCTACTTTAGTACAGTGGGTTTTTTTTGGGGGGGTGAAGAAAAAACTAAATTAAAGTAACATGAAATATACCCTCTTAACAAATTTAAGTGTACAATACATTATTGTTGACTACATTTACAATGCTCCTTTTAACCTTTTAATGCATTTTCCTATCTAATGAGGCCTATTTCCTTTATCACTCTTCTTTTTCAGAATTTGCCCTTATATTCTCAAATGTTTAGCCTTTCACATGAACCTTAGGACTACTGTGTAAGAATCTCCCTACTTCAAAATCACATAAATTTATAGTCTAATTTGGATAGAATTAATCTCTTTTTGTAACATTGATTCTTCCTCCACATTTCTCATTAAGTTTATTCCTGAGTATTTTTTTTTAGTTTTTTTTTCAGGGGAATGTGGAGGTACTATATAAGTGGAATCTTTTATCACTGTATTTTCTGGATGATAATTGTCAGTGTATAAGTGATTAATTTTGATATATTCAACTGCCAATCTTACTAAAGTCTCTAATATGTTAATACTCAGTCAACTCTGTAGTGAGAGTGGATGTCACAGGAAAACAAACTTATCGTTTAACACACATGAATTATATAAAATATGTAAATTAACAAACTTTATCTGCATATTTTACAATTTCTTTTGGGGAAGCTGAACAGTTGGTGCATTTTACTTTTTAAGCTCTTGCCTTTTGTACCTTGTGTCTTTTTATTACTATGACTATACATGCTGCTTTTATAATAAAAATAAGTTTAAAAAAGTGCCACTCTATTCTGGCTGTACTGCTTTCAGGAATATAACCTAAGGAAATAGATGGAGAGCTCAAAGATGTAAATATAGAAATATTCATCAGAACAAAAGGAGGAATGGATACAAGTAAAAATGACTATTAAAATGGGGACTGGTAAAATAATGAACAGTCCATAGTCAACTATGATATATTGTAAGAACTTTTGTAAATGTCACAAAGTACCCCCAGTACAACAATAATACAATAAAAATGGAAAAAAAAAGAATAGTCCATGTGTTCAATGGAATAGTATGTGGCTATTAAATTTAAATTTTCTAAGACACAAAAACAGTCAATGATATATTAAATTATGAGTTTATGTTTTTGTTTTTTAAAAGAGACTAAAAGAGAGACATGTATTTTGCATAAAAGACTAAACATTTGGAAGACTTTGGCTGGGGTATAGCTCAGTGCCTGCCTAGCATGTGTGAAGCCCTGGGTTCCAACCCTAGTACAGAAAAAAAAAGTTTGGGAAACTAAACAGTTACCTTAGAAGTGGTAATTCTGGTAGTAATATCATAATCTTTTGCTATACTTTGCAAAGTTTTCTACAATAAGCATACATTATTTATCAAAATAAATAGGGCAATACCTCCTGTGAGGTTAAACCCAGAAAAGCTCACTATCCATGTATGGTCCACAAACAAGTTCAAATCCCATTTTGCTTACCCTATTCCTTTAAGAATTCTGGGATATGTCTAGGTCTAACAGGCTATTTCACAAGGGTCTTATGACACCTAATGTTTACAAAGAGACTTAAATTTTAAGAAAAAAGATACTAGAGCTGGAGGTGTAGCTCAGTGATAAAGGGCCTGCCTAGCATTTGCAAGACTCTGGGTTCAATCCCAGCACTCAAAAAAAAGAAAAGAAAAGAGCCTAAAATCTTATTCTCTATAAAGTTTACACTTCAAGATACTAATAAAAGGAAAGTATTTACCTTCCATCCTGGGCTGCCTGGACTGCAAGATGAATTCTTTTCTGTAACAGAGTTCAAGGAACTTAAGTAGGTATTACATTCACAAAATTTATCATTAACTTACACAAATGGTCTACTGAAAGCTGAAGCAGTGGTAACTTTATCTAGCATAGCCAGCATATTACAGTGAAGTGAGAAATCATATATTTATATTATATTTATTTATTCCTACCTGTGAGAGCTGGCACACCATACTAAATATTAACACTGACCACATGGTCATTGATTTGGTGAAAGTTACCAAGAGAGAGGTGGTAGGAAGGAGGGAGACGGAAAAAGACAGACAAGGAAAACCATCCCATAACCTCTAAAATTCCCTCGAACTATTCCTTTACTTTATAACCAACACCTCCCTACACCCTATACTCTAGCACCCACTGTTTTTCCTACTTGAAGTTTTGCTTTTTTCAGATTGTCACATAAATGGAATTATGGACTATATAGCCTTTTAAAACTGGCTTCTTTCACTAAGCAAAACGAATTTTTAAGGCTCATCTATGTTACTGCATGAATCAAGAAGTAGCAGTTCCTTTTTTATTGTTGTGATATAGAGCACAACAATCTGCTTATCTATTTCACCAGCTGAAAGAACTGGGCCTTTTCCAATTTTTGATGACTAATGCTGAATAATGCTGCTAGAAAAATTCATGTACAGGGCTGTTTTTATTTGTTGCTTGACTGGGTGATTGATTGGTTGGTGCTGGGGACCAAACCCAGGGCCCAGGTTAGACAAGCACATGCTCTACAGCTATACCTCCTGTCCTGAGGGAAAGCTTTTTGTGAGAACCTAAGATTTCATTTATCTTGCTAGCCACCTAGAAGTAGGATTGCTAAGTCACATGGCAAATACAGCTTGAATGTCCTAAGAAACTGCTGGCAAGCTGTTTTCCAAGATGACTGTATCCCTTCTACATTCCCACCAGTAATGTATGGACGTTCAGCTGCTCTGCACACTTGCCAACACTTGGTATTACCAGTTTTGTTTTGTATTTTTACGTACCCTAATAATGTATGTGTAGTGATATCTCATTACGCTTTTCAACTTTATTTTTTAGAGAATTTTTAGATTCACGGCAAAATTGAACAGAAAGGACAGAAATCTCCCATATACTTCCTTCCCCTAGATAAGCACGAGCTCCCCATTACCAACATTCTATACCAGTATGGTAATATTTGTTACAATTGTCACTGTGGTTTTCATTTTCATTTGCCTAATTTGCATCTCTTTTATTGCTATTTTTATATTTTCTAGGTGAAGTGTCTATTCAGAGCTCTCTCCCATTTTACTAATTGGTTATTTGTGGTACTTTGAGGGCTTTAAATTTTTATTCTTGCTGGGTGTTGGTGGCTCACACCTATAATCCTAACTACTTGAGAGGCTGAGATTGGGAGAATTAGTTTGAGGCCAGCCTGGGCAAATAGTTCACGAGACCTCATCTCCAAAATAACCAGAGCAGGGGGTTGGTACCAGTTGGAGGAAGGAAGACATAAGGGAAGGGTTTAAAAGGGTGAATATGGTAGATATATTATGTACTCATGTAGGAAAATGGAAAATGAAACCTGCTGAAACTATTCTACGAATGGGGTAGGGGGAATAAAGGAGAATGATGGAGGGGGTGAATTCAACTATGATATATTCTAAGAACTTTTGTAAATGTCACAATGTACCCCCAATACAACAATAATATGATAATTTAAAAAATAATAGGAGAATGGTGGAGGGGTGAATTCAAGTATGATCTATTTGATACATTGTAAGAACTTTTGTAAATGCCACAATGTACCACCCAGCACAACAATAAAAATTTTTTAAAAAAATAATAAAATAACCAGAACAAAATGGACTGGAGGTGTGACTAAAAAAGGTACAGCGCCTGCTTAGCAAGTGCAAAGCCATGAGTTCAAACCCCAGTCCTACCAAAAAAAAATTATTCTGATATCTTTGTCAAAATGTAATTTGCAAATATTTTCTTTTAGTCTATGGCATGTCCTTTCATTGTCTTTTACAGAGAAAAATTTTCAATTTTAATAAAGTCAAGTATCAATTTTGTCAAGTGTGGATTAGGCTTTGGGGATAATACACCTTATTAATCACATTTTCCTTGTACAAAAGAGTAACATTTCTCCTAACAGTCTTTGTCACAAAGCTGAAAAGAAATAAAAACTGCGGAGATTCCAAGATGGCGGCTAGAGGGAGGAAGCAAAAGCCTGCCTCCTATAGTGAAATCTTGGAGAGATGCTGGAGACACACCTTGCAGGCAAAACCACCGAGAAGAGGCAAAACTTTGACCCCTCCACTCCTCCAGCCGGTGCAGAGCATCTCCACTTCACGTTAAACGGAGAAATCAGGAGGCCCCTGGGCCGCCAGTCACCTGCACCCAGACGGCTTGGGAAGACGCGGACAAGTTTTGTTCTACTTTATGCGCCCCCTTTGATGAGACAACTACTGAACAACGTCTGAGGCACCATCTCCAGGATTGGAGACTGAGACGGACACCCAAATTATTAAGACTGAAACTTCATTGCATTTAAACTTAGGCTTTTTTTGTTTTGCTTTTTTTATTTTCTATTTTTCATTTGTTTTATTTTGTTTTTATATATATATATATATATATTTCTTTCATTTACTTATTTTTTATTTTTATTCTTATCTTTAGTCTTTTTATTTTTTATTTTCAATCCTCTCTCTGTCTAAGGCCTGTTCAGCTTACTGTCGATTAGTACACTAACGCTCCCTGTTTATACCTTTGAAACTTTCTTGTTTGATTCCTTGTTTTGCTTTTTCCTACTTGTCTATTTGTTTTTCCCTTTTCTTTAACTTCTTGCATTCCATCTCCTCTCACCCTTCCATTCTAAATATTACCTTGTTGTTACTACAAGCTAGAAAATACTTAATTGCACACAGTACAGGGACAGTAACAACACAAAGGACAATGATGGGAAGACAGAAAAAAAACAGGGAAACCAGTTTCCCCACAGCAAAAAATTAGTACAGGAACCAGAGGGGAATGAAGAAAACAGATACTCAGATCCAGACTCCAACAAAATGAAGATAAACTATCGCTAAAACCCAATGAACCCACAAGAATAATTTAAAAGAAGACATACTACAGGTACTCAATGAAAATTTGTATAGAGATATACTGGATAGGGTCAACCAAAATGTACAGGAGACACTCAAGAAATTCCAAGACAAACAAAAATAGAGAATTTGAAAAAGCAAAGAAGAAATAAAGAAACCACAGAAGCACTGTATAAAACACCAAATGAAACAGAAACATGATGAAATAAACAGATAAATGAACTCAGGACAAAAATAGACAACTTAAAAGAAAACCACCCAGGATATGGAAAAACCTCCAAAAAAACGAAACAAGAACTGCCAAAACAAAACGGGAAGGCCAATCCACATAGAAACAAACAGAAAGAAGAATCTCGAAAACTTGAAGATAAATGGTAATTAAAGGAAAAACCAAAGAACTATTAATTAAAACAACTCAAGACCGTGAAAAAGAAAATGCCAAGATTCCCCACTACTGAAGAATGGATCAAGAAAATTGTATCATATTACACAATGAATTCTATGCAGCCATGAAGAAGAAACGAAATGTCATCATTCGCTAGTAATGGATGGAATTGGAGAACATCATTCTGAGTGAGGTTGAGCCTAGCCAAAAGACCAAAAATCGTATGTTCTCCCTCAATGTGGACATTAGATCAAGGGCAAACACAACGAGGGGATTGGACTTGAGCACATGATAAAAGCAAGAGCACACAAGGGAGGGTGAGATAGGTAAGACTCCTAAAAAATTAGCTAGCAATTGTTCCCTTAACGCAGAGAAACTAAAGCAGATACCTTAAGAAGCCAACTGAAGCCAATAGAAGAAGGCATCAGGAACTAGAGAAAAGTGAGATCAAAAAGAATTAACTAGAAGGTAACACCCACTCACAGGAAATGAATTAGATCAACTCCCTGTTATAGCTGTCCTTATCTCAACCAGCAAAAAACACCTTTTCCTTTCCTATTATTGCTTATACTCCGTCTCTACAACAGAATTAGAAATAAGGGCAAAATAGTTTCTGCTGGTAGTAGGGGTGGGCGGAGAGGAGGGGCAATGGGTGATAAGCGACGGGGGTGGGCAGCGGAAGAAAATAACCCAAACCTTGTATGCACATATGAATAATAATAAAAAAAATAAAAAGTGTCGTGCGCCACCCCACACTTGGCCGGCGAATCTAGTTTTTAAATTTATCGCCACACTGTTCATTCAGAAAAGCATTCTGAAATGGGGGTCCCTTTGATCCATTGTATGAAAAATGACAGTTCATTTCCAAAGATACCGAGGCTGGCCAAAAGGAGTCATCCCAGCCCTCTTAAGTGTGCCATTTAGTCCTCATACTCAGTTATAAAGGAAATACTTAACTTTTTCACAATAAGAACTTGCTCAGAAATGACGGGCACAGATGCCGTTCAAAGTTCATACTTGAATTCAATAAACCAAGGAGTGAAAAATTAGACATCTGACCTCAGAGCTCTCTCTCTGACCATGCCTCTGTTCTGTCCCAAATCTATGAAGAAAATCTCTCCTTATCCAGCTTTTGAGAATTCAAAACGTTT